GACCACTTGGCCTCCCTAACAAAATCATATGGACAAATTCTCAGAACCATGGCCCTTAGAGCCTTAGATGGCTGATCTCCAAAGATGTGACGTGTCCAAGGACTACAAGGACCAAGGCAAGCATTGAAAGTAACTCCTTGGATGGCTCCAAGAAGTCCTTCTTTCCCACTCCTGCGCCTTTCTCGCTAGGTCTAGGTTGATGTTTCAGGAGCCAGTATATGGTTGGTGTGATTTGGCGTATTCCCCCTTCAAAGCCCAAGAACTTCAATGAACTAGCACTCGACGGGACGCGACAATGGCGACAATTATGATCTAGAACTATATATATAACATACCCTAGCCAAAAAAATGGTTTTGGTATGTGAACACTTTTGTCTTTCATGGTTTTGAGGGCCCCTGGTATATAATATAATATACTAAGAGAATTGCACAGGGACACGGAACCTAATTCTCGAAATCTCATCCTTTGACCCGACCACCGAGGTCCCGCCAGGGCGCTGTCCGTCCACCGACCGCGCAGCACCGTTGAACTGATTCCGCTCGTAACGCAAGGCTCGCAGCCGGCCGAGGTTTAGCAAGGCGTGCTCGATGCGAATGTCCTCCCAGTTTTTTTCATGGACAGGACATCAACTTGGAATATGACACCAAATAAACCTGGAGTCTCTTGTGAACAGGCATTAGCAGATTTCTATATGGATAAAGCATTGATGTAGAAACGCTAACCGACACTAACCCTTTGCTTTCCTTTTACTGCTTTTCACGGCACTAGCAGTCACTAGCATCTTTCAAGTTGCTGATCGGAGACCAGAAAGAACAAACGTCATTGAGGTCATCAAATCCTGAAGAATGCTCGTGTGAGCATGGGCCGTTGTTCACACAATACCATGGCAATTTGGAATTGTAGGACTATTATACTTAACATCGTCGTGACTGCGGATTAAAGTGCAACCTCTACGCTCTAGTCAATTCTTCAGATCTGGCATACAACAGGCCTCAGGTCGTGTACATGTTCGCCAAAAGCAACAGGTCGAAACGAACGCAACGAGCCGTGCTGAGGAAACACCGTGCTCGCCGTTTGGCCGGGGGCACCTCCATAGGCCCAAACAAATCGCCAGCATCGACCCCAAACAGTTTCAGCGCATGATTTTTTGTGGCCAGTGTCAATTTTCCCTTAGAAAGAACCCCAACAGTGTTTACTGTTGAATGAACATGCAAACAAAATCACTCCTCCTCATCTACATGCATTCATTCAATAAGTCGAGTCCTACATGGGTCACATGATCAAACAATGGTGAGACCGGTGATGTCAAGCAATCCCCCCATCTCCGAGCCGTCTCCGAGCCGGTGTGAGACCCTCTGCGCCTTCTGATGCCGTCCGGAATCCGTCAGGTGTCGCACCAGGATGGCCAAATCACGATCGGCCGGGTCGTTAGACATGACAATGACCTGGGACGAGAAGACACGCTTCGACTGCGCTGCGTGTCGGAAATAGAAGGACGCAACTTCCATCAACTTCCACTTCCTCTTTCTGTTTCCTTCTGTTTCTTTCTCTGGCTTCTCCTTTGAGGGCTTCTTCAATTCATCTTCCTTTCTCAAGCTTTCTGACCGACGTCTTCATCAAGCCTCTCAGAGATGTCCAGTAACCCAATGTGATCACATGCTGTACTCATCTGTACTCTCCCGGTCGCATACTCTTACAATCTCTTACAAAAACCCGGGATCTATTGCCTTGATACGCAAAAACGCACGAATCCGAGGCGGGCCGAATTCTCGATCCGATTTCTGCACCTCTCAAGGCCTATCGGCACCCTTTCCACTCCTTCCCGATACCTTTGGCCGACTTCTTTCACTCCCCAGACCATCCAAGAGGTCACCAGGGGGTAGGGAGAACCGCCACCACGCTACAACTGTGGAATCTCCAAACAGGACACCGTGGTGTGCATGGTGTCGGTAAGGGTCCCACCATGCTCGCTCTCATGCTCCCCCCCTCGGGACCTCAGAACATCCCAAGGGACTCCACCCCGGTCCAGGTTGGGGGGTCGCTGGAAGTGGAAGAGCCTCAAGGTCCGGACCTCAGGGGTCTGCCGGTCGATCCGCCGGCCGATCCGGCCGATCAAGAGACGGCCGAGGGTACCGTGTGCTGAGAAGCCCATGCAAGTGGGTGTGGCGTACTAAACGGTTCTGAAGGATTCGAAGGATTTTGTAATGCAAATTGTCAATGAATGGAGGTTCAGGAGAAGCAGGTCTGGACCCTGAGACAGTTGCTCGTGTGGACCTGCCACGTTTGCCCCGAGACTTGCGAAAGTGGTCCCGACTTCTCTGACTGGGGGACAGTCGATTTGGGGAATGGATGGGACTGGTATAGGGCTTGAACATGGCTTGAAGATGCCTCAGAATTAGACATCGGGTTTCGAACGTCTGAATCTTATTTGTGGCATCACCTGCGCAGATCATCAGCTCATTTAGAAACAACATTCGCATCAACAAATAGTCTGATTGGTTTCAACTCACGTGAAAAAACATGAGCCAGTGTGTTGAATCCTCCCATGAACATTAGACATCTCGGAAACCAGCATGATCTTTCTTAGTCCTCTTATCATCTTATGTCCTTTTTTTCGGTCTTGCTTCCACCTTTGTCTCCCCCCCTCTCCTTTTCCTTCCGCGGGACGGGTGCCGGAGCATCGGCCGCGTGAGGCGTCACCGGACGCGCTTGTGGCTTCGGCAGTGGAGGTCCCTTCCCTGGACGCGGAACGGCGCGGAACGGTGCCGGAAGTGATTGGGTCGATTCGGACGGACCTCTGGTGAAGGTGCGGTGGATGGAGAGGGTGCCGATGGAGAAGGCGTGCGGGCCAAGGAGGGGCGTGCCATGTTCCGAGATGATTCAGTGGTATTGATTGAAGAATGGACTGCAACAATGGGCCTCGCTGGGCCGCCCGAGACGCTGAATGAAGCAATGATGTAATAAAACCACTCACCTTGGTTTGACGTGCTCGGAGCTGGCACACAGTGTTGCATGCAACCCCGCGCCACTTTCATTGGCTTGACGTGGGGGTGGGCTACTGATTTACAGTGGTTTGAGAGTAGATGGCACAATCACCCAGAGGTGGTTTATATGGACCCCCATCTAAAAGACATGTAGGGGTTTGTGCCATCTACTCTGAAACCACTGTAACTGTAATCCCAAAAACCTGTTCAGATCAGGCGGCTCTTCGAGATTCCTCTCCAGCCGAGGACCTGACCCTTTCCTTTGCGCTGCGATTCCTCGGCGTGGGGTGATTCGGCGGCCTGGCTGCGATTCGGTGCAAGTTTGCATATTCCAAGCCTTTATTGTGAAAGACTTTGCTATACTTGGCTAGCTTCAACATACCGTCCTGTCTCGACGTGACTGTAGTGGTCGACCGAGAATGCTGAAGAGCAAAAGTCTTCATGTTGCGCAATCATCGATGTGACTTGACATGTAGCACATCGATCGTTAGCGCACAAAGTGCAGGAGGTGGCCTTTATGCAATCTAGCTTCTCAAAGGGTTGCAATCAGGTGGCCTTTATGCAGAAATCCATGGTTGTTGTCTACGAGTTGATAGCGTACTCTCAACTCCTGTGAAAATGCCCACCGATTTGCTCCTCAAATATTTGGCAAGGCTTGTTGTGCTACGAGCTTCCAAATCCCTGACCTGTTGGTTGAACCTGCTCGTGACCTGCTCAAACGCCATGCTTGATTGGAAAGAACCCACTAAAGAACCCCATGTGCATGCCTCTTCAGAATCTTTTGCTTCTGCCACCAGGTCAATCACCTTGGCAGGTCTCTCAGTCGCACTTCTTCCGGCCGTGGGGGCCTCGTGGCCTCCATTGGTTCAATGAGTCACTCAGTCGCCCATGATCCAATGGGTGAGACCCTTCTACTCTGCAGCTGCAAGCTTCACACCAATGCCACGCTGTCGGATTGCTGGACAAAAAGGCAAGGTCGAGCTTCACGAACCACACGCATGTGTCGGTCCCACTGTCGGTCCCTCATGGTCGACCTATTTGTTCCAACCACCTAACTATGACTTTCCCACCGCTTCATTGATGGACCTATGTGGACCTAATTCATTGATGGTCGACCTCTTCCACCGATGTTCTTTCGCCAATGCCTTCTTCGACCAACAACAAGCCCTTGACTTCTTCGCCCCAGCGGCCGCGGATGCCGCGGCCGCATCGCCCGGCGCGTCGTCCGCCATGGCGCGTCGTCGTCCGGCACCGCGCGCGGTGGTGTGAAGGCGACTGGTGGAGAAGGGCTGATGAGATGAAGCTGTGAAACCACTTAAAGACTTAGCAACATGATGAAACCAATAGAAACATGATGAACCATCTACATGTGTCCGGGACCCAACATGACCCAACATGACCCCCACATGGTCAGTTCTCACCTTTTGGACAGGTGAAGCACTCTGTGGGTGACAGAGTGCACCCGAAAGTAGCCGACAGATCCCCTCGTCCATTCTGGATGATCCTGGAGTGTTTGTGCCACCTGTGTCCAGAAACTGTAGCCAACATCTTGAGCATTCTTGAGCCCTTTCACTCATCACAGTGATAGTCTTTAACGATGCATCTTTGATGTTCGTTCTTTGATGTTCGTTTTGATCCAAGCTGCTCCGAGACTCGGCTGTTCCAAATGTAAAAAACAGGGTAGCATGGCGCTCGTCTGTAGCAAGTTGGAGATGTTTTTTGTGATGAGCAGGTGAGCTACTCTCAAGAACACCGTTGACCCATGTTGACCCTGCTCTGAAGATTAAAAAACCATCCAACCCCTTCTGAAGATTCTGGATTGTAGGGGGCTACAGCTATATACGGCTAGCTGGTTCCTGAGCCACATCCACCCCACATCCGTTCGTTCAGCATGAGTTGTCTACTCGCCAGGGTCTATATACCTGTTTTGTTTTTTTTCTCCGGTTCGTTTGGCACGCGGACTCAACAAGCCCAACAAGCAAACCACAAAGCCCAACGGTGGCAGGGGCCACGGCTTCTGGTTGCTTTTTCCTTCAGCCACCAATGGCCTCAACGCTGAATCAAGAGGAGCACTTGACAATTGGAATTCTAAAGGCCAGCACAACAACTAAAACATGCGCCATGCATTTGGGAAGGCCTTTAACCCATCGACTCCCATCGAGTATAAGTCTTATATAGTCACTGGTCATTGTCAGTGCCTTAACTCTGCCATCGCTGAGCAATCCATCTGACTTCTCTGGGCACAAGCAAGTTGCCAGGAGCAGGGAGACTAAACTTCAACTCCCTTCATGCAATAAAACACACCAATATGAGTAGAGTTTCTGGCACCCTCGGGTGCTACCAACCTGGCTTCTTCTCGGCACCCAAAACATCCAAACTCTCTAGGTGCCCCTGCAGCACACAGGCACGGTCACGGCCATGATAGGGATCGAACTGGAGCGCGGACTTCTCTAAGCCTTAATCGGACCAAATCGACCAAGGTATGTCCGACCTGGGGCAGCTCTGGGTAGTTCTTCCGAAACGACCAAGATGAGGGCTTACATGGGTGTGACCCCAGCACTGACAGAATGCGTGCCCAAATCTACGACCATGGGCAGGACAAAGATGAGTGGGGCAACTCTGCAAGGACTTGATTCAAACCTGTACAACTCCACTGTCTGACATATACTCACCTCATTGTCCTTGTTGGCTTAACAAAGCTCTGAAAAGTGACCAAATTGGGCCAAAGGACGCAAGGCATGTCGCTTGAACTGCACGTCATCGATCATCTCACTCTTTGCTGCCTGCGGTGGATGGGCATGGATGGGCACTCATCCCGGCACGTTCTCTCGTTCGTGGCGACTGAGTGCGGCCTTCGTCTTCGTCCCCCTAAAGAAGCCTCAAGACTGAAATACTGATCGATCCGGATCGATCGATGAGGATTTCCCTACTTGTTCCTTCTGGGAATGGCCTGCAAAGCCTCCTGTAGCTCAGTCCCAGCATCGATGTAGGCACCTCAGGTCAAGCGCTGCATTGGGAACTAACACCCTAGACAGTTGGCGATGGTGTGGTCAGCCCCAGCCTTTCACAGAAAGGCAAGCCAGCCACAAGCCTGCCACAGATTGACAAGGCAACCTGGATCCCAAACTTGTAAATATATACGGCAATATATAGTCCACCCTTCAACCACTAGCAAAATAAACTATACCAAACGGAACCCAACCATCCAAGGCACTCAGCATTTTGTGGCCCTGCTCAAGTACACACCTTAGCAAAACTGCTCCATCTTTGCACATGAGCATTTTGCATGATTCATTCATGCTTTTCATCTAGGATGACCGGGTGGCTCTCTCTATCGCCCCTTCCAAAAGTTCTTGGATTCAAGATGATTCGATCTTTCACATCTGAACAAATGGCAGTCTCTCCATCTAAGTCCTGGGCCGTTCCTGCAGGAGTGCCACTTGAAAGTCATCCTGTGAGCCACCGACTGACTCTCCATGACGGTCCACCCCAAACCATCAACGCCGATCTTCCTGTTCCAAAACAGGGCCTTACTAGATCTGGACCCGATGAAGGTACAAATGGAATCAGCGACGCTAACCCGAACCAAACATCTTCAATCGTTTCTCCCTTCCACGAAGCAACTTTCAGCTACGCTCCTCCGTGTCCCCATCTGGCCGCTGCTCTCGAATCAAAAGCCTGCGCTGTTTGGGCACTTGATCCTTCTTTGGGGGTCTCGCGTGCGCCATCAGCTGCCATGCAACCACTCGACGCAATAGGCAACCACTTGCGTTCAGGGTCTTCTTGGGGAAGCCACATTCTTCGATTCGATGGAGTCTTGGGACTGATCATGATCTGTCTTGGGACTTCGCAGGTGTCCACGTCAAGTGGTGAGTCACGGCCTCCTTTCGCAAATGATTGCAGGTTCTTCCAGCCTTGGCAACTTGGCAGTGTGTTCTTCCAGCTCAGTGGCAACATTGGGGCGGAAAGTGATCATGGACCAGTTGATGTGCACAAACTGGGTGAGTGCATGCAGTGCTTCCCCCCTTCCTGTTTTCCTTGGGTTCCTTACGATTGTTGCTCACGTTCAAGGTGCCCAACTGATTGGGTCACCTCAGCGGGGACGGCGGTTTCAACTCACTGAAAACATACTGGTTTCATACTCGGTATGAGTCAGTGGGCTCAATGATCTCAAGTAAAGGTTGAACATAAATGTATCTGAAACCATCAAAAAGGTGCTCCAAGTCCACTTCCATTATTTTCTGGAATCCACCATGTTCAACTCTAGGCTCGCCGACTTTTCGCTTCATGCTCTCAGTTCCTGGCACCATGCCACCAAGCGGCACAATCCCAACCGGGCGAAAGCGTTCGATGTGTGCTGCTCAAACGCACCAAATATGTCATGTTTCAAATCCGTCCATCCCACTCCTTCTATGCGCGTATGCAGGTGGCGCAGCAGGCTCTCCGTTGCTGCTACCTGGCACAAAATGGACATTGATGGATTTGATTTAAAGGCGTGCTCCTAACAGCAAGGCACCGGCCAATGCATTTTTTTAAATTATACGCATACGTGTGAAAAAACAAGGAAAACATAGAACTCATAGAACAAAGAAATGCAAATAGTGCTTGTCTACCCGGGTGGCATAGCTCGCACCAGCAATGCCTCTTGATGAAGTTCTGTTTACCTGTGCGGCTTATTGTAACCGTAACCAAAAACACAAAAACACAGAACAAATCAAACACATACCGGGGTTTCAGTCGACTGTCGGTTGACTTTAACCTTCGGCAAGGGAACCGAAAGCCGGGCAGCACGGGCCCTGGTGCCACTGCCCAAATTGGAGTGGTTTTCACAAGGGTCCAAATCACCTGGCCATGTATTCTCAATCCACCAAAACCTCAACCGACAATGGCACACCTTCTTTTGGAGCTTCTGTCGCAAGCCAGTGCCTGGCTTGGTGAAGAGCAAAACCCAATGCGCTGCAGACTGGTGAGCCATCACCCAGTAGAGGTTGAAAGTTAGTAGCTAGCGATGCCAGGAGCCCCTAGTAGCTTCTTGTTCCAAGTAGCAAGGCCAGGAGCCACCACCCAGGAAGGGTGTTCCATGTGTTCCTATCCTCCTTGGGACCTCGGCCTTTGTGAAGCCATCCTGCTGGGCGGGCGCTGGCTCAATGGGTTGAGATGCCCAAAGTTGAGAAAGCACTACCGACACCATGTGACACCACTCTTTCAAAACAAGTGAGACACGCCTTCCAGTCTTCCAAGCTACACCTCTTCTGAACCAGGTGACGCGTCACCTCATGCCTTGGGGTTCGGACCCTATAGCTTTCGCTGAGCCAGCACCGGCCTGCCCAGTCTTTCATGGAAGCCTTGGGTCTGGCCTGGCAGAGGGGACTCCATCGAAGTGGATGGCACCCACCTGTTTGGAATTGGGACAATTATGGTAATTGCTTTCCCAAGTGGCCCTTTTATCAACTTCCATGTTTGGTGAGTCTGGGTGTATCATGAAAACATGAGATCTCGGAGCTCCAAGTTGACAGATCATCTCTTTATCACCAACTAGGATGTAACAGGATCAGTGAATATATATATATATAAATGTGACAGACTATGTGACAGCTAGCCCCGTCTTCTGTTGCAAACCATCGGGACATCACATAGAAACTGGTAGACCACCGACCCCGGTACGAACAACAATCCTTGTCAGGCAGTTACCCTCACCAACAAAGCAATGTACTTATCTCATCTACCAAAAAATCATGAAATCACTTGCCCACCTCATTTCTGCAATGAATTCAGGAACTCAGGACGCACCGGGCACACACTCGTGGAGCGATCTGAGCCGGGCACTTGAAACTGTTGCTCCACGGCTTTCCGAAGCACACGGGCCTCAAGGGCGAGGCCCGTGGAACCCGCCAAAGCCGCACCCAAAGGGTAGCTGCTGCCAAAGGGTGTGTAGTGAAGCAAGAGTTTCTTGTCAGTGGAACAGAACAGAACAGAACAAAGATGTAAGTGTAAGTGTTTGAATGCCATATCCAGCCCCACGGAAAGGGTGTTGATTAATAATAGCCCCTTAGAGGTCAAGGGGTGTCCATTCACCACCCCTTAGGGGGTCCAGGATCAGGTTCTTTTCTGTTTGCAGTAGTGCTTTAAGCAAAGCATCTTACAATGTCTGAACTGTCTGACCTCTGGGCGCCCAAACCGTGTCTAAACGGAGTCTGATCTGTGCATCTCGCCACCTGGGTCTGGGTGAGCATTCGTTGGATGGCCCACTAGCAGCCACCTGTGGCCTGTGGCCAGACCGGTGAATCGGGTGAATCGGGTGCTCCGACCGTATCACCTGTCCAACCGCGTTTCGACCCTGTCCAACACTGTCCTGACCCTGCCACCGCCTGCGCTTGTGCACTGGCGCCATGTGCCATGCGCCCAGGAGGATGACATGACATGTCCTGATGGCAACCTCAACGGTTTCCTGGGCTTCGAGCGTGACATCGGGCCTGTCGCTATAGTTGGTGCTCCTGCGACGTACAGTACTCGACGCGTCGCACGCGTCCCGCACGCGTCCGAAGAAGACTCCTCCAAACAGGTCTGCGCCCGATTCACAACAGGTGCCCCCCCAACAAATTAGCTTAGGGCTGGTGAGCCCTTGTTGGAAAAGAAGCATGTCCATGTTGCAAAGAGCTTGGGTGGGTGCCTTCCTTGTTGCCACCAGAAACGGCGAACTTGGTGGCCCTGCGAGGTGGAGGGGTACAAAATGGTACAAAATGGGAAAACATGGGTGTGTATTTGTTTATATGTTAACATATTTTAATGGCCCAATGGGTGTTGGTCTATTTCCTGAAGCTTCTATAGGATTCCGAACGGGGTCTCCCACACACCCACATGGAAAAAGCGATTCACAGGTGTCATTCAGAGGGCTCTATTGTCTCCATTGAATCACTCACATTGTTCTTCAAATGACCTACCTGGCCATGGTCATTGGAAATGGACCTCCCTGTCCCTGCTTCTACAGCCACTGAATTCAACAGAATTTGTAGTAGGTCATCACCCACGACCAACAATCGTAGTTAGTTCTATGCAGCGTCGGCCTCCTCCTGGACATCCCGCGGGGTTGCAGTGATTTATGCCCATGTGCAACCCAACCTACGTACTTCTCGCACCATCACACGGCCAGTTGTTCAGAGGAATTTGCAATATTAAGACTTACAGCAAAGTCCTTTTAGCTTGGCAGGTTTACGAGCTGCCCCAGCCCAGCCGCGCCGCTTGACGGGCTGCTGGGTAGCGGGAATGGCTGGCAATCAGCCATGGCATGATCACTCCCTCTCATCATCAACTGAGTGAGGCTGCTTTGGTATCCTTATACCCCATATTATCGGATGCAAAAAGACTTCTTCTGCAAAGCTGACCGAGCCTGGGTGAATCATTTCCTGTCTTCACCACGATGAATCGGAGGGTGCGCTAAGTTGACTCATCGCCATCTGGAAAATGCAGACTCTGCACCAGCTACCTTCTCCTTGCCCGCTCAAAGTCTACCTGACACTCTTCATGCACGGCCTGGCAACTCCAGTCGACGGCGGTGGTAAAGCTTCTGAGGCCGTTGAACTTTGCACTTCTGGGGGACCTCCCAGTTCAACCCCCTGAGCACACATTGGGCCAGGGGGTCTCCTTCTTGAAGCACACACACCCACATCTACGGCTTGAACACTGGCCATAGTTTCTTTCCAGTCATGTTGCTCCTGTCTGCGTCTAGGGCACCATCTGTTGCACATCAAGTGCGCAAAACACAAGGTCAACGATGGTGGGGTGTGCTAGTTTCACATGAGAAGGTTACGAGAATGCCACCAATCTCTTTAGGTCTGAACTACTCTGATTGTGTTGGATATCTAATGATATCTACTATACTCTGGTGGTGTTTGTTGCTCTACATTTGGCAAAAACACCTTTGATTTCTTCCAAACCACAATATCTGCATGCTTCAATGACAGGTGTGCTTAGGCAGCCCAGCATGTATCACGCCATGCTGGTTGCAGTAGGGAGTTCCTTTTTGTTGAGATTCCACCCGTCTCCCATTTCCACGTGGCACGGAGCGCGCACCTGCTTGACACCATTCTGCCCACCTGAGGCCGACGATTGTGGAGCAAAGCGTTTGGGCCCACATGGCACGCGTTCGCCTCGCTTCATTATGCTCGTTCTCATGCTAAGACTTCCACAATAATGCCATAGAATTCCGCCAATTCAATCATGCTGGAATGAATCCTGCTCCAAATGTTCATCACCTATCTGAACTATCCAAGCTTGCAATGGAGTTCTTGAGTTGATGCTCTTGGGTTCGGCGCGAGGCAATGAATCGATACTGGGCAGTGAACGTCCATACTCGAAGATCCGTCCACTGAACCTTACCGCAATTGGCTGCTGGGCTCTCGTAGTCCGTGGACTTGAATGATCATGACTCTTTGATTTGAATCTCTCAACGCATCGATCTAAGATATCTCAATTGTAATTTACTATCATATTCTTGGGAGGTCCAGTCACAAAGACTGTATCATTAGATATCATTAGTAGTTATATCAAACCTGGACCTCCCAAAAACCGACCCGACTCCCATCCAAATCTCTGGGGTTCCCCTGCCGGCTGGACTTCAGTAAAGGCTCCTTACACTGCGAGCAGCTCGGAGCCCAGCGACGGAGGAAGGCCTCGTGGCACTCCTGGCACGTCGGCGAGGAGCGCAGTACTCGCCGCTGCCGTTCTCCAAAAGCGGGCGACCGAGATTGTGTTTCAAGCCCATTCAACGCAACTTCTTGTCATGAAGCGCCCAGAAAACGCATGATGACCCCTAGCAGCCAGCGAAAAACAAACAACTCTGGCAGCCTCGTGTACTGGGCCAGTGCCTGAAACAAAGCAGGTCTTCCAAATGAATTGCAGAAACACATCTGCCCATGAACAGTTCCAACACCAACCACTCGAAACATCCAACGACCTGACATGACCTGACCGACCTGCCTCACTCGACCGCTCGGTGCACTGGGCTCCCAGCCGTGCGAAGCGGAGAAGTGGCCCTCCTGGGCGAAACGATGCGGAGCGGGTCGTCAGGTGAGTGTCAGGTGAGTCAGAAGCTGTGAGAAGGTGTCAGTGGATGACCAGGTCATGCAGGTACTATGAGCAAATAGGTTGTTGATGGCTAAGAAGCGAGGGTATGCTGGTACACCGTGGCAATGATCTCAAACAGCTTTCTGGGTGCACTGTACAAATGTGAACTTATGTTACTCCATCAGCAAGGCCGCATTTGGTTGGCCATGGAAGTGTGTTTCGCCCTGTCTTCATGCCATGTCTTCCTTCTCCACCGGGCCTGGCCTGATAATTGAAGTGCCTTCCGCTGAAGCCGCCCATGCGGATGACTGGCCTCGCACGGAGCTCGTGAGACGCGCCCAACCACCTCAAAACGTCCTACCGGGATTGCTGAACTGGTGAGGAGGGGAGAGTGGAGATTGCCAAACATATATGGCCTGCGCGTGCTTGACAAAAAGAGAGCATTCTCCACCCCTGTTCCACTTTCCGAGCAAACATTGCTGAGACCAGTGCTGCCGGCAATGAAGGCACGACCTCAACTCGCTGGGTTTGATGGTCTGACAAGGCACCGCCTCATTGTAAACAAACCAAGGGGAAAAAGACCATCTCTTTTGGATAAACATGGGGTGGCCAGTTGGGACCAAGGACCAGTGCCGGTGTCAACATCTCTTCAATACAGTGGAATCATAAGTCAGTGACTAAAATGAAGTTAAGCGAACTCATTCGAAACATTTCATAGAGACACATTAAAAGAAACTAGTGCAAGCACGCAAAACGAAATGAACTGCTCCAAAATGACTTAGGTGCAAACAAATCCAACCAATCATGCAACATCATGAAACCAAATCAAATGAAACAGCAACTTGTCATTATTGCCAGTGTTGACATCTTTTTATCCAACCGACTGCAAACATCTGCAAACATTTTCTCCAT